TCGTGTATAATTTTTTTTTCTCTATTTCTAGTAATTAGGTAAATCATTATTCTTGTTTTTTGAAAAAAAAATAATATTTTAACCAATTAAACATAAAAAAGTTTAAAAATATTCTCCGACATACAAAATACACACTTTCGTTTTTATCTAAATCATTCTTTTTTGGCATTACAAATCCTCAAATCATAACTCCTCATCATCTCACGATTCTTTATTTGTGTCCACACTTCTTGGTGGAATTCTCTAACGTAACTTTTGTATTTTTAGACTGATATAAATCTTAATTAAAGAAACTTAAAAAAAAATCATGTTAACTTTAGATGTCTATCGACGATGATGAATGTCGTTCTAATTCTTTTTGTACACTCATCAATGTTCATTTTCTTCTTATATGATTATACTCGTCATTTAAGGATCGTTTGGTGTTAGAGATAAGAATAAATAGTCTTGAAATAATAAAATAGTCCTAGAATAAAATTTTATTGTCTTGTTTGGTTGTCATGTTTGAGATAACTTATTCCATCATTTATACCATAGTGATGGAATAAGTTATCCCCATATACATGGTAGAATAAATTATATCAAGATAACTAATCCCAAGATAATTAATCCTGAATTAATTTGTTCCTAACCAAACGACCCCTTAGAAATATAGGGGATAATCATTCCTTTTTTCATTAATGACATATTAGAAATGACTCGATAGAATAGGTACCTTAAAGTCAAACCATAATAAGAGACTTTAAACTTAACTTATATGTTCCTAATCATTTGAATTCAATTCATCAAGCAACTTGAGATGCAATAATAATTTTTAACCAATAATATAGCCAATTATTTATTTATTTTTTCTTAGGACATTGTTCATTTTAGGTAGATTTTACCATTTTTTCACACTTGGGCAATTTCCTAACATTAGTCTAGAAGTAATATAGGCTTTTGAAAAATAATCGAAGAATACATCAATTAAAATACTATATTATTAATCTGCTATGCGAATTATTTACATTTTATTTCATGCATATCTTAACAAAATTTCTGACTTCGGCACTATTTTCATGGATTAAATAGTTCTTTATATTTTGAATTCTACCTTCGATCCGTTACGTATCCATTTAAAACGTATTATCTTATCTAATCCGTTATAAGAAAAGTCAATTCAAAGATACATTATGTAGTGTTTTTAAAGGGAGCAATACCTAATTAAGCATACTAATGCAGCAAGAAAGGTTGCTTTAATTGAACAAATAATTAAGAAAGCAAGTTTTTATCAATAATTATGTGCAATGAAAGTAATATTTGCTAATATAAATATTTATTTAGCAAATATACAAGACCAAGTCATTCACTCATATGATGTAACCTTTTATTTAACTATACTTTTCCCCATATAAAAGATATCGTTTAATAAACCTAAATCAATAGTCGAACCCGGGTGACCATATCGATGACTCGGAAAATCAATTCCCCTCAATTCCTTTGTGTCGAATCTGTCTGTGCGGTTTATATTTTCTGTGTGATTTGCATGCTATTACATTGTGGAGTGAGGGGTTTATCTAGTATGCACAAAGTTCTTACCTGAAGGGCGGATGTTATGACAGAGGTTATATCGATTGTAATTTTTTATCTTTTATTTTTTTTAAAACTAAATCAATAGTCCTTTTATACTCCCTCTATCCCTAATTACTTATCAACTTTTGAATTAACACACCTTATTAAGAAAATAATGATGACATGGTGAATTATCATTTTACCCTTATTAATTATGAAATGGATGTATTAAGAACTTAAAATTTTCAAGAAGTTATACCTTTTTCAAATAAATTAATTGAGGGTATAATAGGTAAAATATTTTTATCCTTTTGGACAAGTAATTAAGGACAGAAGAGTATTTGATTAGTCTAGATTCTAAGTGGTAGTTTCAAAAATCTGCCGGCATTTTTTTTCTCCATATTATATTTACCAAAATTAGATATAAATATTGAGTTTCTTGTCAAAAGTCCATCCACTTGACTCTATATTTTGGAAATTATCTCCTTCATTCTTTGTTCTTATCGATTTTATTGTTATATTAATTTAAATATAATAATAATAATAATAATAATAATAATAATAAAATTGAATGCGACACCTTTGTCTTATTTTCATTAGTCAACCATTAATTATTCAATCTTCTTCTACTATACAAGAAGAATAATCAATCAAAATCTTAAAGAAAATTTAATTTAGCGTCTAATATCAGTACTATTGACTTTGAAGTTTGAGGATTGACTAAATCACATTTTAGTGGTAATTAAAATTTCCTTTTTTCATTTCGCATCTTATATTAGTATTGATTTTGAACTAATCCAAATTCATATCGAAAAAGGTCACATTATAGAGGCAATAAAAAAACTCATTTTTTATTTAGCGTCTAATACTAATATTCATTTTGAACTATTTCAAATTCATACCGAAAAAACCACATTTTAGTGGTAATAACTTTTTACTTTTTTCATTTAGTGTTCAATACTATATTGATTTTGAACTCTGAAGGTTGGTTAATCAAAAGTGATTCTGTTCGTAAGATTCTATAAAATTCTCTTCTTTAAGGGTGTGTATGGTATTATAAAAAATAAATGATTTTCCTACTTATTTCTATTTATAAATCATTTGTTCAAATTCTATAAAATATTTATCTAAAAATTATAATTAAATTTTTTTGAGATAATATTTTAGACGGCAAGAGGTTTGAGCAATGGGGTGGGGTGGAGGGTGGAGTATTAGGTTGATGGGGAGCCAACAATTACATATCATTTATAAAACTTGTTTTTCTATCGAAAAAAATCTAACTCTCAAATGACTTATTCATACTCTTTTTTTAATTAATTAATCACTTTCGACGGGGGATTAGTATAATAATTACTAGCTAAAAGATTTTAATTATAATTTTTTAATGCAACAAGCTGCTGTTCATGCATAAATATGATTAGTGGATATTCTCCTCTTATATTAATTTATTTAAAATAGTCCATCTAATAAATAAATAAATTAGAATTTCCCCAATAAAACACAAAAGTCAAAGAATCTTGTTAGGAGTTGGAATCCTTAATTAAAATCAATAAGATCAGATCGACTTAATTAATTATGTACTTAAGTATTGTTATTAAACTGATTTTGTACAAGGTGCCAGATTTGAAACAACTTAATATTTAATTAATAATTTAAATGATCATTTGGACTACTATTTATTCTATTAATTATTGGCTAAGAGAATGAATGTGATCAAACAACCATACTTGACTGTTATTTATTCTTTAATCAAACAAGCTATGTTCACGTATCAATATTAATTAGTAATAAATATTCTTTAAATATATTATTGTTTATTAAAATTAATATTTTGCGTCAAAGGAAAAATCCCAATGAATTTTCAAAGATAAATTTAGTTTTTTTACAAAATTTTTAAGATATAACCTATATAGTCATCCAACTAATCTCTTAACAAAATTAACCAACAAATATATAATATATACAATTCATAAGGGGAAAAAAAGGAAAAAAACTATCAACAATAGTTGTGATGAAGTGATAAATACTCTTTTTCTTAAAACTAAAGTTATTCAGAGATCTTGAATTCAAATCTTATTAGATATGTATCATCTTTTCTACTTCTCCGATTTAAGTAGTGACATTTTTTAATCACTAAGCCATTTTTTCATGGACAGCCTGTTTTCTTTGAATTTGGCTATAGAAAATACACGTCTCAAACTTAAGCTATTATTCAATGATTCATAAATAAATATCATTTAATCATTTTATATCCTTCTATAAGTGGCCCATTCTAAAAAGAAAAAATAAATCTCATATATCAGAAGTCAAAGAAGCTTCTTTTCAATCACTACCTAATTAATTGTGTCTAGAATGTCATCAAGAAAACCCTACAAGAGTGAGACCAAGTCTTTAATACAACTTTTAACCAAAACAAAAATAATGAACAAAGTCTTCCATACAAAGAATGATATAAAAAAAACCAACTAGCTTGAGTGAGACCAATCTAAATATATATTTTGAGGTCTAAAAATTATCGTACCTTTAAAGAGTCAGTAGATAGAGTATATAAGAATAGTATTGAATAAAATATTTTAGTAATATTAAAATTCATTTTTATTTATTACTTAATTTGGTGTATTAATTATAAGGACATCTTTTTCTAACTATACTTATCCATGTATTAGTAGCCCTTATATGGCTAATATCATAATTTTCTATGTCGAATAGGATGTATAACATGTATTATAATTATTATACATAAGATGTGTTTGGTACGAAGGAAATTATATTAGATTGAAAATTCTACCAAATAAAAGATTAAAATAACATCATGATTAATTCATGTATTAGATTTTCTAATACATTCTACCAAATGACCTCTAAGAATATGTTCGGTACAAAAAAAAAGATATTTATATATATAGTCTAGTTATATCGGTGAAAGTTTTATCTACAAAATTAAAGTGTAAGCTCGATTCTATTGTTCAATTTTATTTTTCTTCCTTCTTTATTCCATATTTTTTAAGGAAAAAAAAGTTTAATTTTTATTTCCTTCTCCATTTTTGGACCATTTGACTATTTTTCCACTTTAATCAAATTTAATGTTTTTTTACCTTTCTTCTCTTAGGTACAAAACACAACAATGTATAAGTTGTGTTTGGCTCCAATTGCAAATGTATTACTCTATAGTAAGATATTACTTTTTCTATCTCAATTTATGTAACACCTTTTAAATTTCAAAATTCAAATAACTCTATTTTTTTAATCATATTTTTAAATTGTCAATTATTATAAATTATAATATTTTTTTATAATTTTTAAATACAAAAAAGTTATTTAAAAAAAATTAAAATTCAAACGATATCACATAAATTAGTACAACCGACTAATGTTTTTAGTTAAGCCTTCCGTACTCCAAAAAAGAAAATGAGTCTTTGACCGTGAAAAAAAAAAGTGTAACAGTTACAGTAAGAGAAAAGTTGTGTGTTTTTGCCGGCCCCTTCTTCTCCACTTATCTGTTTATTTGATTATTTTTTTCTTCATTTTATATAGTTCAAAATTCTGTTGTTTTTATTCTTATCTTCTGCTGATTTTCTCCCATTATAAGCGTGTTGAATAGTCAACTTGCAGCCTAGCAGCTTTTTAAATTTCTTTTTAAAATGCAATGACCATGTTTTTTGGTTTTCTCAGCACCTGCACACAGAATTTTTTGAGATCAAGCCGTCTAAATTTGCTGTTGAGGGGTTTTGGGGTTTGATAGGTTTTGTGGAATCTTGATTTGTCATAATTGAATTGTGGTGAAAATTGGGGTTTATTGATTGAATTGTGTGTAAAGTTGGAATCTTTTTTGGTTTTGTTTGTTGATGTGTCAAGGATTTGTTGTGGGGTTTGGATTCTTGGTATTTGATTGTTGTTTTTATGGTAAAAAGGTGGAGTCTTTTGGTGGTGTAGTTAGTGAATCAAAGGGTTTATAGAAATTGGATTTATAGTTCTTTTTCTGGCATAAAGTTGGAGTCTTTTTGGTTGTGTAGTTAGTGAATCAAAGGGTTTATAGAAATTGGATTCTTGGTGTTTGATACTTGATAGTTGTTCTTTTTCTGAAGTTGTAGTTTGTGCAAAAAGTTGGAGTCTTTTGGAGTTGTAGTTACTGCATCAAGTGTTTATGGGTTGTTGGTTGTTCTTTATGCAGTTGAATTTTGCAATGGAAATTTGGAATTGTATTTGAGTGGCTGTTCTACTGAATTGGGTTGTTTTGACTTTGGGGTTCCATGGTTATGGGGAAAAGATTGATTTTTGCAAAGACTGGTTTCTGGGATTTGTAGTTTTGCAACTGCAGGGGAAGGTTTTCGGTTGGGTTTTCGTTGATTGATTATGGGTGGTGTTTGTGGAAAACCTTCCGAGCCCGTGCAGAATAGGCGGGATAGACAAAAGAGGAGTGAATTTACTAAAGGGGCAACTGTGGTATCACGCCCACTACGAGCTGTTTCTACAAAGAGAGAGGAAAGTTTCAGGGTGAAAGACAAGTTGGAAAATGGTGATGTGAAGCTTGGTTTGGTAGATAGGAAGTCTAATGGATCAAGAAAGGTCAGGGATGATCATTATGAGCAGATAAAGGAAAAGCTTGGACTCATTGTGAATGGTTGTCCTGGAAACGGAGTCGTCCCAAAAGCCTTGGAAGGGGAGCTGATTGCTGCTGGATGGCCTTCTTGGCTTGCTTCAGTGGCTGGTGAAGCTATTAATGGATGGCTTCCTCGCAAGGGCGATACATTCGAGAGATTAGACAAGGTACAATTCTGTAGGCATTCCTTATGGGTGATTAATTTGTCAATTTAGATTGGACAGTAATCAAAATTGTATTTGATTAGCCAAAATTATAAGGCTCATAATCATAGGAATTAATTCTACCTCCATTCCATTTTATATGGTGGTGTTTGATTTTGTTTTAATTTTTTTTTAAAAAATTGGGGGTAGGAGAAGGGGAACTGGGGAAGGGGATTACAAGGTAGAGAATGAAACCCTCACCAACAAGGTGAAGGTTCGAGTAGTCAACTATCAACCAACTAAGCTAATAATATTCCCCCATGGTGTTTGATTGGGTCGCAATTTAAAATTTTAATTGACTTTGTATTATACTAGTGACAGTGGAAAAATGTTCAAGTAATTTAGTTTGATAGAGAAAACATTTAATTGAATGTTTAAAATTTGATCTATTAAAGAAGGTTATACCAAATGAAATATGTAGTTCAACTTTCCTATGCTCTTTAACTCATACACACAAAAGTACTATATGCACTTGCGAATTTTTGAAAGTTGCAAAAGTTATATGCAACAACAACAACAACAAATCCAGTATAATCCCACGGGTGGGTCTGGGTGGGGTAGCGTGTCCACTGACCTTACCCCTAACTATAATGTTTTGATTTAGAAATTAGTGTAAAATATATCATATTTATTTGTGATTCCTGTGGCAATATTTTCCTCCCTTTTCTATTTCCTTTAAGGGGTGTTAGTTTTCTTGTCCAATGTGTTCAAAAGTTGTTAGTTAAGTTGGTTTTCTTTGCCAATATGTTCAAAAGTTGTGAGTTAAGGTTTTTTGGTTATTGTCTGATAGATTCTTGTTTCTGCAGATTGGCCAAGGGACTTATAGTAGTGTATACAAGGCTCGTGACCTAATTAACAATAAACTTGTTGCACTCAAAAGAGTGCGGTTTGATAATATGGATATTGAAAGTGTCAAATTTATGGCAAGGGAGATAGTCATTTTGCGTAAGCTTGATCATCCAAATATTATCAAATTGGAAGGCTTGGTTGCATCAAGATCATCTTGCAGTTTGTACCTTGTTTTTGAGTACATGGAACATGATCTCACTGGACTGGCATCTCTTCCTGATAACAAATTTACCGAACCACAGGTGCTTTTCTTGGGATCCTTCATTATGCTTTATTTTGTAGTTTTATACGAATGAATTAGCCATCTCAGCTTTTCAATCAATTTAGGTAGCTTATTTCTGACTTTTTTTTTCTTCTTGTCTTTCATAGATGAAATGCTATATGCATCAACTTCTTAGTGGACTTGATCATTGCCATAGTCGGGGTGTTTTGCATCGGGACATTAAAGGTTCAAATCTTTTGATTGACAATAACGGGATCTTGAAGATTGCAGATTTTGGCTTAGCAACCTTTTTCGATCCGCACCAAAGTGTTCCTTTGACAAGCCGTGTTGTGACTCTTTGGTATCGACCACCCGAGCTCTTACTTGGAGCAAGTCACTATGGAGTCGCTGTAGATTTGTGGAGTACTGGCTGCATACTTGGAGAATTATATGCTGGCAAGCCCATTATGCCTGGAAGAACAGAGGTATAAAACAGATTGTCAATATACTTTTTTTTAATAACTTGTCCATGATACTCATTGCTAATATTATTTTTTCCCCCTCCATTTTGGAGATGTTACTACAATTTGAGAAGTAAATAATCATCTAGGATTTAAAAATGAAGAAGGTGGAGTTCACAAGCAGGAGCCAATCTCAGAACTAAATTTTAGAGCACACTCGGTTTGTTTAACATGACTGGTGAACTTGTGATTTTCCAATTAGATTAAAGGTTTATATTAACCTTTGCTGAGTGCTTGAGTCGCTAACTTGTTCTTACGCTCTAATAATAGTTGTTTCTTGTTTTACTATCAAATACTGGAGCGAAGGAGTGAAAGAGAAAAGTTTGTTCTATTTACGAAATAAATCCGTTTTGGGGGTAAGGAAAATGTAAAGGTTGTAATTTGCACCTAAGGGTGTGACCTAGTGGAGTAGTGGTCAATGAAGTGGGTTGAGAACCATGAGGTCTCACTTTCAAATCCCAGCAGAGACAAAAACACAAGGTGATTTCTTACCATCTGTCCTAGCTTTGGTGGACAGAGTTACCTGGTACCTGTTATTGGTGGGAGGTGGCAGGTGCCCTGTGAAATTAGTCGAGGTGCACGAAAGCTAGTCCGAACAGCAAGGTTTTAAAAAAGAATAAAACAAAGTAAAAAAAATGTAAAGGTTGTAATTCTGAACCGGGCACCACTTTTTAAAATAATACTGTACAAAACAACTCAAAACCTACTATTACATTGGCGCCAATATGATTGGATTGCATCTTACAGTCAATTATCAGCACATCCAGTTGACTGCCTCCATGACCTTATCATCTTCATTATTTCCTATTTCCTATTTCATTTTGTATTCTCTTCTCTGTTTTATGTTGATTTTTCCAAAAAGGTGCTGTTGGTTTATTATTGTGTTCGCCTCCTTTAAGGTTGTCCTTCATTGTAAAGATGTCCGGGGTATTAATTTTCTTGTGTTTTGGTGACTGAAAGTGAGGCTTGGAGAGAGCTTTTGAAGCTGCAACTTAGACATTTAACTATTTGTGCATTAACCTTAATTTCATGACGTACTTTTTACTTTTTGGTGCTCAAATCCTCGTGTTCATCAGCTGAAAATTTCTCTCTATTCTTTTTAAGTGACATTATACCTGATTAAGTTTACCTGTGTGTTTCTTCTGTGTAAGACTTTAATTTTTACATCTTAGATATGTGAACCTTTTTCTCCTTGTAGGTGGAGCAGCTGCATAAGATTTTTAAGCTTTGTGGTTCACCATCTGAGAATTATTGGAAAAAAGAAAAATTACATCATTCAACAGCATTTAAACCGTTACATCCTTACAGACGGCGTCTTGGGGAAACATTTAAGGATTTTCCTCTATCTGCTGTGAGGTTGATGGACACATTACTTTCTATAGATCCTGAACTTAGGGGAACAGCTGTCGGTGCTCTGGAGAGTGAGGTAAGTTTGGCGTTTCCTTGTCCCTGTGTTTCTGCCATCAATCTTAGTTTGATGCTTTGTAGTTTAGTTCGTAAAAGATGGTCAAACAAAACTGAAGGCTGAATCCTGCATGCTTATAGTCGAACGACCTGCAGGTTTGAGTCCTAATAGTTACAAACATCAAAGAGAAGAATTGGAGCCAATTTGTTTCTAGGAGTATCTTTGCGATTATTTGATCTCTGTTCTATTTAGCACAAGATAAAATTAGATAGTTGCTTCTGAAATTGTATCTGATAAGTTTGCACTTGGTGATATCTCGAACAGATCTGTGTGTATTTATAAACAAATACGGATGCTATCATTGAATTATTTTGGAAACAGAAAATATTAGATCTTTTTGGGACAGACTAAAAAGAAAAATGTGACACAATGGGATGCATGGAGTACTTCATGAGTTTATGTCGAAATTTTGAAATTTGAATAAGTAGTAGTAACATAGTTCAGGGTAGTTGGAGGTATATTGTTTCATTCCAAGTGATATTCTGGAAGAATTGTCTCATTTTGTCCGTCCGAGTCATTCAGTGTCATATCATTATTTCAAGGTGAATCTCATTATTATTTGTATAATAAAGTTGCACAACCATTTTCCTGATTAACAAAGTTGTAACCATACAGTTCTTCACCACAAGGCCACTGCCTTGTGATCCTTCAAGTTTGCCAAAGTACCCTCCCAGCAAGGAAATTGATGCAAAACTGCGGGATGAAGAAGCTCGAAGGTAAATAATTTCTAGATATCCACATTTCCTGTGAGGAACTAGAACTTTGTTAGTTTTGCTTTACTTTAGTCTTTCTCGTAATGTGAGCTAATGGTTTTCAGTTATATATCGAGAAGCTTCTTTGTCGTTTTTAAAAATGTGTAGAAGTGTGCAACAGTTGTGTTTTCCAGTGGCACATCGTTTGTTGCTTTTCTAGCTTTGCTTGCACCGAGGAACTAGAACTTTCTTTGTTTTTGCATAACTTTGGTCTTTCTCGTGATGTGAGCTTATGTTTTTCAATTATATTGGGAAGCTTCTTCGTCGTTTTAATAATGTGTAGAAGTGTGCAACAGTTGTATTTTGTTTCATTTGTGTGTAACAAGATTTTCCATATTAAGTGCTGGAGGATATGTGATAATAGTTGCCTGAATTGTTTCAGCAGACAAGGAGCTGCAGGAGTGAAGAACCAATTTGATGAAGGGCATATGAGAGGATCAAAAGAACCTCGAGCAGTTCCAGCACCTGATGCTAATGCCGAGTTGGCGAGGTCAATGCAGGTACTTATGTGGGGCCTGATTGTTTTAGTATCCCTGTTGATGCATGTTTACATGATGTCAGATCCTAAAGACCAAATGAAACCGGATAATCACGATTATTCAATTTTTCCTGTTCTAATTTAAGAGGTTAGTTAGATGGTTAGGATTCTGCCATGAATTGGGAAGTTCTTCCACCTTCAAGCCGAACTTACATTTTCCCCAAAAATGTATTGTGGAGCGAATGGATATTGAGAATTCATATAGTCGACACCTATTACGGTAGATTTGAGGCATAGTAATTGATGATGTGGAAAATGGAATGTGTAAAGATCCACTTTGTTGATGTAAAGCTTTAGCCTTTTCTTGATAAAGATGCACCGATAGCCATATTTGTCTGCAAATGCTTTTACCCGTACTGAAGTTATCAATTATATGATCCAGACACTGTTTGGTTTCAATTAATACTCGTACCTTGTAACAGAGGAGGCAGAGCAGTTCAAATCCCAAGAGCCGATCTGAGCACTTCTATCCCTATAAAGAAGCTCCTTGCGGTTTTCCAATTGATCAACATAAACCATTACAACCGAGCAAAGAAAAAGGTGGAGATCACTTGGAGAATCATTCAGAGAGATTTTCTCATTCAGGACCTCTAGCACCAGGATTTGGGTGGGCAAAATCCGGGAAGAAATATGATCATGATATTTCTGTTGGTTCCAATAGAGCCGACTTATCCAAGTTTTCTACTTTAGTAGCATCTAGGTCAGTTGTCACTGGTGATGCTCGAGATCGATTTGTTGCTTCACAGGTAGAATCTGGCCGTCAAGTAGAAAGGCCAGTACGCTTGCTTGACGAACATTCAAGGAAGCAGGATTGGAAGCGTCAGATGCAAAACCATGCTAGTTCTCGTCAATTTGACAATGGAAGGGCTAGTATTAAAGAACAAAATCTGGTACGTATTATAAACATCATAACTTGTCAAATTTTAAGTGTGTATAGATTATTGTGACAATTTGTTTTTGCCATATTTCACTTACAAGATGATTTAGAAGAAGCTACTGAAACTCACGCCTCAAAGTATAGATAAACTTACTCGCTATGGTACCAAAAATGTTTGCTTACATAGCTGACCCTTGATTGTTTCCTATTTGGTTTAACCATTTAGTATTCGGAACTAACTGGCATGACTAATTCAGATGTGCACTGCATAGAATCCATTTAAGGGGAAAACATTCTTTCTCAGGAATATCTACATTCCTGGGTTTGAACGCGGAACCTCTTGTTAAGGGTTGAGGGATCCCATCCACCCCGCCACATCCTTGATGGTCCCCTACGTTGTGATTATTATCAATAGATACATTTTGGTTCCGCATTTGCTTTCTTGTTCTGGAATTCCTAATATGATGGGATTCTCATCGAGCCCTTTTTTTTTGGTCTATGTAGCATGGCCATACCCATGGTCACAAGGGAAACACAATCCATTTCTCAGGTCCACTACTTGTTCAACCAAATAAAGTGGATCAAATGCTTAAAGAGCACGATCGTCGTATCCAGGAAGCTGCACGACGAGCAAGGCTCGAGAAGGCAAGAGCTGGCAAAGGCCAAGCTCAAGGGATGCCGAGAACAACCAATTCTTTTTACGTTACTAGTCTGGGATCGCGGTAGTTTGGGAATTATATATACTGTTCTATGTACAGTTCTTGAAGTAACTGTTATTGTTATTTGTAGGAAATTCAGTAAAGATGAATATAGCCAAAATAATTATGTGGTTTTTTACAAGAAAAGGTTAAACTTGTTTATGCAAACAATTTTTTTTCTTTTAGTCATTGCCCCAATTAAATTGACAGCCCTTTATTCTTCAATGGAACAAAATTGATAAAAATGATATTACGATAATAATATATTCAATGCAATTGTACAAATAAAGTACGTAGACGGTAGAGTGTAAGCAGGCCTTACCTTCATGCCTAGAAAAGGTAAACAACCCTAAAAGAAAAAGTTATATTTATTGATTACCCTGCAAAGAAGTAGAGAATCCAAAAAGAAATTAAAATAAAGGACATATATACATGTCAAATTAACAAAATAAAATAAAACAGATAGAAATTTAATTAAATAATAAAAGTTATATTTATATAATATCTAGCACCAATAGTCTAGTGGTAGAATAGTACCTTGCCACGGTACAGACCAAGGTTTGATCCCCGGCTGGTGCAGTTTGCGGGGATAGCTCAGTTGGGAGAGCGTCAGACTGAAGATCTGAAGGTCGCGTGTTCGATCCACACTCACCGTATTTATTTTTTGGTTATTATTCTCCTTTTGTTTTTTGGGTTTAATTTTATTTTTTGTTTCTCCATTCTTGGTCGCAGTTATTCTCCCTTTGCTTTTTTTGGTTTAATTTTACTTTTTGTTTCTCCATTATTGGTTGCGTGAGCCCAATATATGTTATTTTTCTGTCTTAATTTATGTGTCACAAATGGAATTTTGAGAGTTAACTAAATTTTTCATACGCGTTTTTAAGAAAAAGATATTAAATTGTTAATTTGTTGTGATTTATATTTTTTTAAACGTCATTTTGAATAATATATGTTATTTCTTCTGTTCAAATTTATGTGACACTTATGAAATTAGGAGAGTCAACCAAATTTCTTATATGATTTTAAAGTATTTTCAATTGTTAATTATTTTGATTTATAGTATCGTTTACCTAACTTTCAATAATATTTGTTGTTCCATCTGTTCAAATTCACGCGGCACCGATATAATTGCAAAAAATATTTTAAGTTGTTATTGTGATTTGTAGTACAATTAATGTCATTCTAAATATATAATAAAATATTTTAATTAAGTTGTTAAATGTATGTTTAATAGTTGTGTGTTTGTGGCCTCTTATTAGATAGTAAAAATATTTTAAGTTGTTAATTATTGTGACTTATAGTGTATTTAACATAATTTTAAAATTTATAATAAAATATTTTAACTTATTAATTATAATGATTTATAGTATCTTAAACGTAATCTTTGAGTGTACGATAAATTAAAAAGAAAAATAAGACAAATAAGTTAAAATAGAAAGAACAATAACAAAATTTGAACAAAATTAAGTATATAACATTTTTCTGATAGCACCTAAGTCCAACAAGTTCACTTACCATTAAGAAACAAGTTCAATTTTTATTTATGATCAAATAAATTTCAATTTTCAAATTTCTTTTTCTTTCCAAAGACGAAAGCTTTTCATCTCTATATATTTTATTGAATACAATATTATAAATGAAACAATTAACTTTTTCAAAAGTTAATTTCCCACAAAATAAAACTGAAAGGAGAAGAAGTTGTGAGACACAAATGAGATGAGGGGTGTAAAAATCGAATCGATCGATAAATTGGATTGAAAAAAGTGTTATTGGTTTATAGTTATTAGCTTAATGGTTTTAAATGATTTTGTCAAGAAAAATTATTGGGTTACCAGTTCGATTTTAGAATCTTGGTTTATTGGGTAAACTGATAACCTATTAAGACTGTAGTAATTTGTCACTTTACCCGTACAGAAATATTAAATATTAATCTCAATACGTTACTAGTTACTGTCTTTACCCTTTAGCCTTCAATTTACACTTCACAATGACTTTAAGCTCACAACTTCACATTATACAAAACGTCAAAACCTAAAGTAAAAACCCTATTACTCTTAATTTTTCTTTACACTTGTATAGTCTTTTCATGTTAGTTATCACTATTTTTTTATTAGCATTTGTAAAGTTACATTATTGTATTGTCTTGTAAAATTGTTGCAGAAGTCATTTTATTTGGTTTTATAAGCATTTTCTTATTGGTTAAATCGAATTATCTTAACCATTGAGGACCAAAATAAAAAAAATTGATAAAAAATCTTATTGATTTGCGTATTTCAAAATCGAAAACCGTTAAACCGAATTGAGGGGAGGGGGAATCTGACCCACATGCATGGAAAATCAACTAACTTTTCAGCTGAGGCAACGTAAAAAATCAAATATAGATCGACTTTTATGTCAAATAATGGAAATGTACAAATGTAAAACAATCGTATACAATACTCTAATTTCAAAATAAGTGAATTGATGAGGTACTGTACACTTATAAAATAAATATCACTTTCCACTTTGGCCCTTTTAGTTATTCTCAAACTATTCTTGAAAATATAAATGAGTAATTAACTCTCTTTAAATGATCACGTTAAAGACATAAATGAGGGGCAAAAATGAAAAAAAAATTCAACAACTGTCATGAACTTTGAACAATTCACTTATTTTGAACTATGAAAAAGGGTTCAACAAGTCACTTATTTTAAAATGAAGGGAGTAATGTTTAAGAATAACAATGAGAAAATACCCATATTATCCCTGGCTAGAGAAACAAGCATATCGTCCAACACATGCTTCTAGCCGCTTATATATAGTAGAATATATACTCGTCCAGTTTTAGTTCATGTGAAAATATTTACTTTTTAATTCGTTGCAAAAGAAATAAATGATAACTTTCTAAATTTGACACAAATTTTCATTTTATCCTTGATGGAGAGTTTTTATAGAAACATATATATCATGAAGTATTTGCGTATGATCATAAGTTTTAAAAATATTTATTTACTTTTTGAAGTCATGTTTAATCAAACTTGGCCACATAAACTAAAACGGTGAGAATACCTGAGGTTGAAAATATCAATCTGAATAATCCCAAGGGCAACAAATTAAAGGTTGCAAGATGCGACAAAAGAGGGCTACGTTGCTCAGAATGTAAGTAGTCTCCACCTCCAACTCTAAAGTTGTTAAATCCGAGTTACCAAGAGAGCAAATATGTGATATCTGTTGGGTTATGAAAGGTGATTAGGGTGTCATGTGGAAGCTTACAATTTCAAGTCATATGAAGCATGATTAGGGCGTCATGCGGAAGCTTACAATTTCAAGTCATAAGTGATAAATCAGATAACAAAAAACTTATACTAAAAATCAAAATATTATTATATAAAAACTAATATAAAGAAAAAGGGATAAGGGTCTGAAAAATACCCCAACTTTGGTCGGATTTGCTGTTGCGATACTAAACTTTCATGAGGACCTATTACCTCCCTAGACTATTTAATACCGTATTTTAAACATATATAATTGCCCACGTGGACATAAAAAATAATGCAAAAATTATAAAATAGTAAATGTGTCCACGTGGGCACATATATACCTTTAAAATACACTATTAAATAGTTCAGGGGGTAAAAAATACGGTATTAAATAGTCTATGGAGGTAATAGGTCCTTATGAAAGTTTAGTATCGCAACAGCAAATCCGACCCAAGTTGGGGTATTTTTCAGACTCTTATCCCAAAGAAAACATTGAAACTTTAGAGAGAATAAATCTCCCTATAAACAAGACTCTTAAACGACTACATTGTGGATGTTATTGTTATTGTGTTAAAAGAAACAAACATATATTTATGGAGTCTCAAAACTTACTAGAAAAGGACTAGCTACTCCAAAACATTTTCCTAAAAGGAAAGAATAAACCAAATATGAAAGAATATTATATTTTCCTTTCAGGAAAAGTAAAAACATTTATGATAATGTTTCGTATTATCTTTAAGGAAAAATAAATCTTAAATTATGGTAAGAAAATCAGGGGAAAACCCTAACAAATCTCCCCTTTTGGTTGGATTTTCTTGACAAAGCTTGATCTGTGTTCTTTATTGCATGATAATCTTGTTCTTCACAAAATCTTCATCACTGTTGCTTGTCATGGTTAAACATAAAGTTTAAAATATATTGGTTAAAAATATTTTATTTTTATTCTTAAAAATTGCAGCAACAGGAATGTTGAAAATATGGTTGAAACTCCTTCTCCACATGTAGCTTGACAAAAAATCTTCATTATCATCAAATTGATTTGAAACCATCTTGAGCCTGTCTTCAACCTCGTTGAACCATAGGACCACCGGATCTTTGAACCATGTGCTCTGATACCACTTGTTGGGTTATGAAGGGTGATTAGGGAGTCATGCGGAAACTTACAATTTCAAGTCATAAGTGATATATCAGATAACAAAAAACTTATACTAAAAATCAAAATATTATTATATCAAAACTAATATAAAGAAAAACATTGAAACTTTAGAGAGAATAAATCTCCCCATAAACAAGACTCTTAAACGACTACAGTGTGGATGCTATTGTTTTTGTGTTAGAAGAAACAAACCTATATTTATAGAGTCCTAAAACCTTTTCTTACTAGAAAAGGACTAGCTACTCCAAAACCTTTTCCTAAAAGGAAAGAATAAACCAAATATGAAAGAATATTATATTTTCCTTTCAAGAAAAGTAAAAACATTTATGGTAATGTTTCATGTTTTTTTTAAGGAAAAATAAATCTTAAATTATGATAAGAAAATCAGGGCAAAACCCTAACAAAATCTCCCAGAAAACAAAAAGGTTGTGGTACTATAAAAAACATAGATTTTTTCCACCATGAATCAATGAGAAATTAGTGTTTGAAAACATTATTTCCTATCGAACCAACTCATTGAAAGAAACAAATTCTTACTTAAATACTGAAAAAAAATCTTAATTTTTTTCGTGTGTAAATACTATTACTACTATTTTTCATTTCTTACTGATTCAATTAAAATATTTATAAAAATCACTACCAAAGATTTTTTAAGTAATAAATTTTCAACAAATAATAGTAATTTTTTAGTTGTGTGAATTCGAATCACCGAGATTCATAAAGTAGACAGAATCTTAAGGAATCTCTGTAAAGGAAAAGAATAATAATGTTCTTTAAGCTTCATTATAAC